TTCCTGGCTACAGTGATACATTAAGGGACGGAAAACTGACATAAGGAGGAACACAGAGTCACCTCTGAAATTTACTATCTGGTAAATTTCAGATAGTAAATTTGATAGTAAAACTGGCGAAGAGGGTCTATCTTCCTTTCAAACAGCCAACGATGTTGCCCTGAGGCTGTAACGACACCACAGAAGCCTGCTTGAGAATAAGGCCATGAAAGCTGGAAACAGAGCCAACAACACACAGCAGAAGAAAACCCTTGCCATCATCATATGGGTTCTAGATCCAGGCATGCCTGAGACCAGTCCATCTTGGACTCCCATTTACTTAATCTAATAAATCCACTGTCTTTTAATTTTTTACTTCATTGCTTAAGCTGGAGTTGGATTTTTGCTGCTTAAAATTTTAATAGTACTGACTGTTCTCAGAGAGAAGTCCTCAGTTAAAGAGTAACACTACACTGTAAAATTTGAAACATTTAAAAATTAGGTCAATCAATAATTTTGTCTATCTAAAATATACTTTTAAATTACTGTAACAAAACTTTTAAAATTAAATCAGTAATATATTTTGTGTTCCTAAATAAGGTTATTCTAAATCTTTATGTATCAGCAATAATTGCACTTATTTTACCATGTACTACATGATGATATAAGTATATACACATTTTAGAATAGTTAAATCTAGCTAACAAATGCATCACCTGTTATTTTTGTGATGAGAAACAGTATCTGCTGTCTTTGCATTTTTCAGGAATATGTATCATTAACTGCATTTTTAAATAGTGTTAGAATATTGCAGTGTCTGATATTTTGTTTGTGTTAACATTTTTCTAATGGTAGAACATACCACAACTCTACTCCCTTGCCTTTTCAGCCTACTGCCATGCCACTCGCCAACTATAGGTTGCACTGGGTGAGTAGAGATTTCTTCATTCACGCTCCTGGGATACATATATAGAAGACGAAATTCTAAAACGATGATTTTGCCCTCTCCAAATTCACATATAACATCATAACCATCACAGAGAAGTTCCCTCCTCTTTCCTCTTCTGTTCCTCAGTAATTCCTCCTTTCCTCTGCTCATCTCTCATGCTCACCTTCCCTCTGGGGCAACTTGCCACTCCTGCTTTCAAAGATTAATGCCATCACCTACATTCTCATCTCCTCCCAACCTTCACTCCATCTTACTCTTTCTCTGCCAGCTATAGTACGTCCCACCACACTAGCATGTTCCCCTCTGCCATCACACACACAAAAATTTTCTCTAACTTTAAAATTACACTTTACCAAGCTGCTCACTTTATTGTTCTCCTACTTTACACTGACAGATTTTTCAAATAGTTTAAATGATATTTAAGCATCGCTCTTTGCTTATTCCCCAAAAAAGAAACTAGCTTCCTCCCACCCCACAAATCCCTGAAACTGAATTCATGATATTTCTTTTATCGTCAGATCCAGTGACCCCTTTAGCTTTCACTTCCTCTTGAACACTGCTGTTTGTGGTGTTATTTAACTATCCTCTTGTAAAATCTTGTCCATTGGCTCAGTGACATTATATTTTAGCTCTCTGGCTTTTGGAATTCTCTAAACAGGTCTCCTTTTCCTCTCATTCCCTGTTAGTAAAGTAAATGTTTCTCATGTTCATTATTCAGTCCATTCTTCAATGTTCATTTTTGATATGCTTTCTCTGAAAAATTATATCTACCATTAAAACTGTTACTCTCCAATATGAGGCAAAATTACAACACACACACAAAAGGCTGAATAAACATTTTCCCTCCCAAATTAGGACTACCCCCAAATTTTCTGAAAATGGCATCACTTGTCTCCCCTAAAACCATGGCTTGCAAACACACACACACACACACACACACACACACACACACTCCTCAGCATGCTGTCCCATCTTCTATTGCCTAAAATACCCTTCCTTCCTTTCTCAGCCAAAAAAATTCCTATCAGTCTCAAATGTCCCTTCCTCTGTGAAGCCTTTCCTGCCACACACCCATCACCCAATGAACATGACTTCCTAGTTCTCTCTTCTATAGAACCATGGCGCTAAGCAGATACCTTACTATAGCACTTTTTAAATGATTTTAGATTCCTGTGGTTTTCACCTCACCCAATAGCTATGCCTCAGGCGCAAACGGCATGTTTTATTCTTTTTGTTTCTTTAGTTGCTATAACACAATAGGAACTTGGTAAGTATTTATTAGCGAAAAAACACTTGAAAGGTCCAAGTTCATTCAGAATGTCAAAAATATAATCAAGACATTTCATATGCCTGCAGTGCTTTGCAGGTGTCAAAGTTGAATGTGCTAGCTTTCTGAATACCAAATGCATTAACTGACTAAGCCAGTCATTTAGCATTCTGGTTTCCTGCCACAAATATTCTTCTATCTTCACATGCATATATGTCTTATCTTCTTAAATGGGCAAGTACTTGCAGGTTACAACTTTTAGTGTTAAGTACATTATATTATCTGGTGTGCCTCCTTATACCTTAGTAGGGTCTCAATAAATACCACATAGCTGTTTGATGTGTCTCATTGTTAGGAGTTCTAAAAGTATCTGACAGATCTGTCATTAACTTGTTTCTAATCTAAGTTTTTCAAAAGTATTCACTAAAGAAAACACGCATACATGAAACTCAAACAACAAATACCTTCACATCCATGATCCAAATAATGTATTAACTTTAAAAAAAAGAAAAGCCTAGAGTGGGTTCTTTCAGTGGTAACACATCTTTCCTTGTAAATATGGATCTCAAATATGAATCTATTACATATGGCCATTAAAAAGCAATTTCCCTATAATTCATAATGTAAAAACTGATGCAGGCTATATCATCAATGGAGGTAAAGGCTATTGGGAAACTATCATCCCACAGATTTATAAATAAGAAAAAAATATATTTACAGTGAAGAAATCCAGCAGTCACCTTCTTGATCAGTATGTGTGATTTATGTAGCATTCTCACCGAAAAAGGTTCAACCTAAATCTCATAATGGGGAAAAAGTGGACAAATTCAGAATGTGGGATATTCCACAAAACAACTGATATAAAATCCTCAAAAAAATTAGAATCAAAATCGGGATCAGTATATACTGCTTGGGTGATGGGTTCACCAAAATCTCACAAAACACCACTAAAGAGCTTATCTGTGTAACCAAATACCACCTGTTCCCCAAGCATCTATGGAAATAAAAAAGTACGTAACAAAAAAAGTAGAATCAATGTCATAGAAAGCAATATAATGTCAGACTTTTATTTTCTAGAATAAAAGATTCTCAGGTGACATAACAAAATATACTGTAAGGACCCAGGATTTAAAAAATTTTATAAACTTTTATGGACTACCATATTAAATTATGAAATATGTTTTTTCTCAGTTGTGTTGATGATATTGTTATTATGAATAGCCTATCCTTGGAAATTCAGGCTAGAAGAACTTAGTGTTATCTACAGCTTTCTTTCAAATGATTCAATTAAAAAATGTAAGTGTATAGACTGGGCACAGTAGCTCACACCTGTGTTCCCAGCTTTTTTGGAGGCCACGGCAGGAGGATCACTTGAACCCAGGAGGCCAAGATCAGCCTGGGCAACCTAGCGGCACCCCATCTCTTAAAAATTAAAATATTAGCCAGGCATCATGGTGCACAACTGTAGTCCGAGCTACTTGGGACGCTGATACAGGAAGATCGCTTGAGCCCAGGACTTAGAGGCTGCACTGAGCTTTGATCCACTCCAGCCTGGGCAACAGAGTGAGACCTGGTCAAAAAATTTAAAAAAAAAAAAAAAAAAAAAAAAAAAAGTGAAGTCTGTGTAAAGCAAATGTGACAAAATATTAAGGATGTTTATGTGCTCATAAACACTATATATTCAGCTTTTCTATATATTTCAAAATCTTCAAAATAAAAAGTGAAAGTAATTTCCTCTTCTTTCCAATCACATTTAAATCAACATCCTCCTTATCTGCCCTTTCTCCCCTTATAAGTTTTAATCTTTTTCCTTCATTTTCTATGAATATTTGTAGTTTGTCTTCTGTTTCACTGGTTCAGATTTCTATTCTTTTGATACAAACTGTTTCTACAGTGGATTTTGTTTGGCCTTTGTGTTGTTTTACTTTGCGTATATGCTTTTCTTTTCTAGTTTACCAGTCATGTATCCTACATTTTAGATGCCTTTTCTTGGTATCATTTAACTTTATGTAATCTATTTTAAATTTACTCAGAATATAAATAAAGATGCAGTAGTAGCACTGAAGGTAGTGTTTACATATACAATCTAAAAGAAGAGAGATAAACTAAATGAGTACTGTTAATGAAAAAAGAGCAAGGAACTATAGGGCTTAAAAATTACCAGCAATTTCATATGATCATTGATATTAAAATTAAGAAACGGGGCCGGGCGCGATGGCTCATAATCCCAGCACTTTGGGCCAAGGCAGGCAGATCAAGAGGTCAAGAGATCGAGACCATCTTGGCCAACATGGTGAAGCCCCATCTCTACCAAAAAATACAAAAATTAGCTGGGCATTGTGGCACATGCCTGTAGTCCCAGCTACTTGGGAGGCTGAGGCAGGAGAATTGCTTGAACCCGGGAGGCAAAGGTTACAGTGAGCCGAGATCGCACTACTGCACTCCAGCCTGGCGACAGAGCAAGACTCTGTCTCAAAAAAAAAAAAAAAAAGAAATGGATTCTAGAGAAGATCAAATCTAGGACATCATGGGAAAACATGATCTACAGATCAAGCTGAAGATGTGACTTTCATGTTCTTTAATTTAAGACCTTAGAAATATCCAGGGTGTTTTGAAGACGTGACTTTAAAGTCCTTTAAGATCTTAGAAAGATCCAAGGTGTTGCCTCAAAACACCTGCTGGATTTCAGAACTGCTATGGATCAGTGACTCCCACACACCTCCTAACTATCCTTTGTTTGAACAGGAGTGCTGATGGTAGTTTTCCTACGCCTTTTGCATCACTGGTCTTGAATTCCTGGCCAACAGAAACTGTGGCTTATTGTTATTTTAAAGCACTAAATTTCATGGTAATCTGCTATGCAGTGAGAGATAACTAGTGGAGTGACAGTTAAATTGAATTTGAGAGGCTGAGAAGATGGCAGCCTTGCAACCAGAGGCAGGTAGTGGGATTGGGGAAGAACATCTGATACAGGGTAAAAATAAGATCTCTGATTCCAAAGGTTATGAACTGTTAGGATCATGGGATGACTATGTATCACTGGAAGATGTAAACTCAAGAATATTCATGAATATGTGTTCTATTAAACATTGGCAAAAGGAGTTTTCTGACCAATAATTATTTCTAAGAACTACAAAATTTCATGTGTAGAATGAGGAAGAACATTTTCCACTTGTTTTATACTTAGATTGTGAAGTTTTGCTTACAGAGCGTATATTCTCAGGTTAATTTATCATTTATTTTGTGAAAGTATTTAACTCAATAGTGATGATCAAAAGCTAAGGGTATCTCAGGCAAAAGGGGAATCTCTGGTCATGTTCCACTAGATCCCTAAACTAAAGATACAGGCTTCTAATGTCACTAACATAACATGGTAGACACCACTTTACTATTTCTGACACTACCTTTAGTGCTACTACTGCATCTATTATTTATATTCTGAGTAAAATTTTTAAATAGATTACATAAAGTTAAAATAAAATAAATATCAAGAAAAGGCATCTAAAAGGTAGGATACATGACTTGTAAACTAGAAAAGATAAGAAAAGCATACAGGCAAAGTAAAACAACACAAAGGCAGAACAAAAATCCACTGCAGAAACAGTTTGTATCAAAAGAATAGAAATCTGAACCAGTGAAACAGAAGACAAACTACAAATATTCATAGAAAATGAAGAAAAAAGATAAAAAATAAAACTTAAGGGGATAAAGGGCAGATAAGGAAGACAGGCTACAAATAAATACCCAATCAAAGATAATAAGGTGGTATGCTACCGTGGTGGATTAAAGGAGGCCACAAATTCCTTATCATTTTCCCTATGAAGAGATGGACTCCATTTATTTCTCCTCCTCTTGAATCTGAACTGGTGAATCTTGTGACTTGTTGCACAAAAAAAGGTAGATCTGCCACTTCTGCAACCAGTCTTTAGAAGAGCTGGTGGCTTCTATTCTTAGCAGTAACATGATCTAAAGTAATCGAGGCTGCCCTACTGGAGAAGGGCAACATGGAGGAGAACTGAGGCACTCTGGGCCAACGTTCAAGCACCAAGGACCCAAATATGGGAATAAACCATTCTAGCATCTTTCAGTTCAGTTCAGCTGTCTTTTAAGTGCAGCCATAGAAATGACTCTAGGTGAGATCAAAGAACCATGGACTCAAACCACAGAATCATGAGAAAAATATAAGTCACGCCGGGCGCGGTGGCTCACGCCTGTAATCCCAGCACTTTGGGAGGCTGAGGCGGGTGGATCACGAGGTCGAGAGATCGAGACCATCCTGGTCAACACGGTGAAACCCCGTCTCTACTAAAAATACAAAAAATTAGCTGGGCATGGTGGTGCGTGCCTGTAATCCCAGCTAGTCAGGAGGCTGAGGCAGGAGAATTGCCTGAACCCGGGAGGCGGAGGTTGCGGTGAGCCGAGATCGTGCCATTGCACTCCAGCCTGGGTAACAAGAGAGAAACTCCGTCTCCAAAAAAAAAAAAAACAAAAATATATAAGTCACTATTGTCTTAAACCAATAAAAGTTGGGGTAGTCCATTACACAACACTGGTAACTGATGGAGCAATAATGATCTACAACACAACACTGCCAAAATACATGCATAATGTCTGTAGTCTGTAGTATAAGATACTTGTATTTCAAAACCCTGCTAGAAAGTATTATTTTAAACTGTTTGAGACCAGGCGTGGTGGCTCACACCTGTTATCCCAGCACTTTGGGAGGCCAAGGCAGGCGGATCACTTGAGGTCAGGAGCTTGTGACCAGCCTGGCTGACACCATGAAACCCTGTCTCTATTAAAAATACAAAAATTAGCCAGGCGTGGTGACACACATCTGTAGTCCCAGCTACTCAGGAGGCTGAGGCAGGAGAATTGCTTCAATCCAATAGGCTGGGTTTGCAGTGCGCTGAGATCACGCCACTGCACTGCACCCTGGGTGACAGAACAAGACTGTCTCAAACAGTTTGAAAAGCCAGCTTGTTTCAAAACCCTGGCTGAAAGTAACAGCTTTTTCATTTCTTCAACTATCTTCCATTATTTACTTGCTTGAAAAAATATTCTAAATTCTATCCATGGATTAAGTCAGGCATGGAACATGAACACTAAATTACAATATTAAATCTTCAAATTTTATTCACATCTATTTTAAGATGCCTTAAGAAGCTGTCTTAACAATCCCACTTACGTAGTAGTATATTCTCATTCTTTGCTTCATTCATTTCATTCACTCATTGAACAGTTTTTAAGGACTTACTATGCACTAAGTATCAGAGTAGCAAAGATGAACAAGGAAACCATGAAGTAGAATTGAGAGCAGGATAAGACTGTATCACTCCCCTGACTTTCTAGAAAGTCGACCCCTGCCTAGTCTGCACTTCCCACAGCACTTTATACAAATTTTGATTTTGTAGAAATAATAACAGCAGCCAACATTTATGGAATGGTTACTATGTACCTGGCAAAATTCTAAGTCATTATTACATAATTTAACTCAGTTAATCCTCACAATAACCTTCATGAGGTAGGTAGGAACTATTACCCCCATTTTATAGATGAGGAAACTGACTCATCTTGAAGTCCTTTTTTCCCACTAGACTCTAGACTCCATGAGGGCAAGTGTTTCTTCATCTCAGTGTCTCACACATCCCAGTTTCTGGCAGATATTTCTCTAGAAGTAATTAAAGAAATTAGTTTGTCCAAAAACTAGATACAAATATGCTCATTTACAAGAAAAATTTTTTACTCCTCAAAAGTATAAGGCAATAATATTTTTTTGGACCAAGAAAAAAATGGCTTGGTGTTGAATAAATATAGTATCTCTAACTGGTAAGAAAAATTAACATAAAAGTTTACCCAACAATTGATGAAAACAATGAAGACTTAACTTTTTTAAACAAATCTAATTTGATAGTAATTTTATTCAGCAATATGTTATGCAGAAGTCCATACAAATCACAATGACAAGGGCCAATCAAGATGGCCGACTAGAAACAGCTGCAGGAGAAGGAAGGAAGGGAGGGCGGAAGGGAGGAAAGGAGGGAGGGAGGAAGAGAGGGAGGAAGAGAGGGAGGAAGAGAGGGAGGAAGAGAGGGAGGAAGAGAGAGAGGAAGAGAGAGGAAGAGAGAGAGGAAGGGAGACAGAAAAAGAGACACAGAAAGAGACAGAAAAAAGAAAACAACAACAAAAACAGCAAGTGAATCGTGCACCTGCAACTGAGGTATCCAGGTTCTCTAACTGGGACTGACTAGGCAGCTGGCACAACCCGTGGAGAGTGAGGAAAAGGAGGATGATACAACGGCCCACATGGGAGCCATATGGAGCAAGGGAAGCTCCCACCCCCCGCGAAGGGAGGCAGTGAGTGACCGTGCTACCCTGCCCAGGAAACCATGCTTTTTCCATAGATCTGTGCAACATGTGGATCAGGATATCCCCCTCATGAGCCCACGCCACCAGGGCCTTGGATCCCAAGCACAGAGCTGTGCAGATTCTTGGCGTTCACTCAGCTGGAGAATGCCTCAGACTACGGAGTTCCCAGGGAAAGGGGCTACAGTCATCACCGCAGCTGCCTGCTGACCAAGACAACTAAACTCTCCAGGGAAGGAAGAGCAGCCATCACTGCAACTGCTTGCTACCTAAGATGACTGAGCTCCTGTAGGGAGGGGCAGCAGCCAACTCTGTAGCTACAGTCTGCCGGTTTTCCCCTGCTGGTGCCAGAGAGACTGGACGGTATCGACCCAGGAGGATTCACCACAGCACAGTGGCTGTGGCAGATGGTGGTCAGACTGCCTCTTTAGGCCAGATCCCGATCTATCCCCTCCTCGGCAGGCAGGGCCTCCCTGGTAAAATTTCTAGCAGGAATTTTAGCAACTCCAGTAGGAGTTTAGGGACAGAACTCTGTTCTCCCTGGGACTGAGCCCCTACAGGGAGGAGCACTCACAGTATCTGTGCATCCACAGACTTACTCTTTCCCCCTGCTGGCCCTGAGGCATCCAGGTAGTCTGGACGAGTGGGATAACCCCCAGCAAAGCGCATCCCCTCTGCCAACGGGCAGCCAGACTGCTTTATTTAGCAGTCCTGGATCTTGTGCCTCCTGAGAGGGACCCCCAATGGGATCGCCAAACATCTTATACAGGAGCATTCCCACTTACACTGGGGCATCTTATACAATGCCCCTCTGGGACAGAAATCACAGAGGAAGGAGCAGGCAGGCATCTTTGCTGTTCTGTAGCCCCCACTGGTGACATTTCCAGGTGTGGGAGGGATCCAGGTGAATAGGGTTGGAATGGTTCCCCAGAAAACTGCAGCAGCCCTATGAAGGAGGGACCTAACTGAAGAAAAACAGAAAGCAACAACAACAGTATCAACAAAAAAGTCCCCATAAAAACTCCATCCAAAGGTCAGCAGCCTCAGAGATCTAAGCTAGAAAAACTCATGAAGATGAGAAAGAATCAACAGAAAAAACAGAGTGCCTCTTCTCCAAATGATCACAACACCTCTCCAGCAAGGGCACACAACTAGGTGAACGCTTAGATGAACTGACAGAAGTAGGTTTCAGAAGGTGGATAACAAAATTTGCTGAGCTAAAGGAGCATGTTCGAACCCAATGCAAAGAAACTATGAACCATGATAACACATTACAGGAGCCGTTAACCAGAATAACCAGTTTAGAGAGAAATATAACGACTCAATAGAGCTGAAAAACACAACACAAGAGCTTCACAATGCATCCACAAGTATCCACTGTCAAACAGACCAAGTGGAGGAAAGAATTTCAGAGCTTAAAGAATATCTTCCTGAAGTAAGACAGGCAGACAAGATTAGAGAAAAAGGAATGAAAAAGAATGAAGAAAACCTCTCAGAACTATGGGATTATGTAATAAGACCGAATCTATGACTGACTGGGGTACCTGATAGAGATGGGGAAAACAGAACTAAGTTGGAATATATACTTCAGGATATCATCCAGGAATACTTCCCCAACCTAATAAGACAGGCCAACATTCAAATTCAGGAAATCCAGGGAACCCTAGTAAGGTACTCCAAGAGGAAATCAACCCTAAAATACATAATCATCAGATTCTCCAAGGTCGAAATGAAAGAAAAAATGTTAAGGGCAGCCAGAGATAAAGGCCAGGTCACCTACAAAGGGAAGCCCATCAGACAAACAGCAGACCTCTCAGCAGAAATCCTACAAGCCAGAAGAGACTGGGGACCAATATCCAACATTTAAAAAAAAAATTTCAACCCAGAGTTTCATGTCCATCCAAACTAAGCTTTATAAGCAAAGGAGAAATAAAAGCCTTTTCATACAACCAACTGCTCAGGGAATTCACCACCACCAGGCCTGCTTTGCAAAAGCACTAAATATGAAAAGGAAAAACCATTATTAGCCACTGCAAAAAACACACTGAAGTACAAAGACCAATGATACTATGAAGCAACTACATCAACAAGTCTGCAAAACAACCAGCTAACATCATAACAAAATCAAATTCACACCTAACAGTATTAACTTTAAATGTAAATGGGCTAAATGTCCCAATTAAAAGACACAGAATGGCAAGCTGTCAGATGGACCAAATGGATAAACAGTCAAGACCCATCAGTGTGCCATATTCAAGAGACCCATGTCATACACAAAGACACAAATAGGCTCAAAATAAAGGAGTGAAGGAATATTTACCAAGCAAATGTAAAGCAGTAAAAAGCAGAGGTTGCGATCCTAGTTTCTGACAAAACAGACTTTAAACCAACAAAGATCAAAAGAGAAGGGCATCACATAATGGTAAACGGATCAATTCAACAAGAAAATCTAACTATCCTAAACATATATGCACCCAATATAAGGGCATCAAGAGTCATAAAACAAGTTCTTAGAGACCTACAAAGAGACTTACACTCCCACACAACAACAGTGGGAGACTTTAACACCCCACCATCAATATTAGACAGATCATCAAGACAGAAAATTAGCAAGGATATTCAAGACTTGAACTCAGCTCTGGATCAACTGGACCTGATAGATATCTACAAAACTCTCCATCCAAAGACAATAGAATATACATTTTTCTTGGTGCCACATGGCACTTATTACTCTAAAACCAATCACATAATTGGAAGTAAAACACTCCTCAGCAAATGCAGGAAAACTGAGATCATAAAAGTCTCTCAGACAACAGCACAATCATATCAGAACTCAAGATTAAGAAAATCACTCAAAACTACACAACTACATGGAAATTGAATAACTTGCTCCTGAATGACTCCTGGGTAAATAATGAAATTAAGGCAGAAACCAAGAAGTTCCTTGAAATCAATGAGAACAAAGAGACAACACACCAGAATCTCTGGGATGCAGCTAAAGCAGTGTTAACAGGGAAATTTATAGCACTAAAATGTGCACATCAAAACACTAGAAAAATCTCAAGTTGACAATCTAACATCACAACTAAAAGAACTAGAGAACCAAGAGCGAACAAACCCCAAAGCTAGCAGAAGACAAGAAATAATCAAGATCAGAGCAGAACTGAAGGAGACAGAGACACTAAAAACTCTTTGCAGGCTTGGGGAGAGAAATCAATGACTCCAGAAGCTGGTTTTTTTGAAAAAAGAAAATAGACTGCCAGCTAGACTAATAAGTAAGAAAAGAAAGAATCAAATAGACTCAATAAAAAAATGAGAGAGGGGATATTACCACTGACCCCACAGAAATAAAAACTACCATCAGAGAATACTATGAACACCTCTATGCAAATAAACTAGAAAATCTAGAAGAAATGGGAAAATTCCAGGCACATACACCCTCCCAAGAATAAACCAGGAAGAAGTTGAATCTGGGAATAGATCAATGACAAGTTCTGAAATTGAGGCAGTAATAAATGGCATGCTAACCCAGAAAAGCCCAGGACCAGATAGACTTACAGCTGAATTCTACCAGAGGTACAAAGAAGAGCTAGTACCACTTCTTCTGAAACTATTCCAAACAACTGAAGAGGAGGGACTTCTCCCTAACACAGTTTGAGGCCAGCATCATTGTGATATCAAAACGCAGCAGAGATACAACAAAAAAAGAAAACTTCAGCCAATATTGCTGATGAACATCAATGCAAAAATCCTTAATAAATGCTGGCAAACTGAATCTAGCAACACATCAAAAAGCTTATTCACCACAATCAAGTCAGCTTCATTCACAGGATGCAAGGTTGATTCAACATAAGCAAATTAATAAACATAATCACAAACAAAACTAAAAACAAAGCACGTAATTATCTCAAAAGACTCAGAAAAGGCCTTTGATAAAATTCAACATCCCTTAATGTTAAAAACTCTCAATTAGATATTTACAGAACATACCTCAAAATAATACGAGCCATTTACAACCTACAGAATGGGAGAAAAAAAAATTGCAATCTAGACATTTAACAAAGCTCTAACATCCAGAATCTACAAGGAATTTAAACAAATTAAAAAAAAAAAAAAAAAAACCCATTCAACAGTGGGCAAAGGACATAGACACTTTTCAAAAGAAGACATATATGCAGCCAAAAAACATTAAAAACCTCAGTATCACTGATCATTCCAGAAATTCAAATCAAAACCACAAGGAGATACCATCTCATGCCAGTCAGAATGGCAGTTACTAAAAAGTCAAGAAACAACAGATGCTAGTGAAGCTGTGGAGAAATAGAAACGCTTGTATACCATTGGTGAGAAAGCA